TCTTCTCTACAAAAACAAAGAACAAGAAGGTTGTCATGTTGTTTTGTTGTGTGTGTGTGTGTGTGTGTGTGTGGGTGTGGGTGTGGGTGTGGGTGTGGGTGTGGGTGTGGGTGAGAGAGAGAGAGAGAGAGAGAATATGTCATGTTATTCCCTAGGTATGAGAATTGTTTTTCCTTTCCTGTATTTCCGGCAACATGAGGAAGAGTAGGATTCTATTCCTCAGCTAAGATAAGTGACTTTACTTTTTTTGTATTTGGAACTTGAGGAGGTTAATGACTAAGGCGGTGAAAGTCATCCATCTGCCACTGCATTTGCCACCATGGGCAGAACAGGGTATCAATTTCAAACCTTGGAGGTTAGCAGGTCTGGAACCTTTGCACACACCATAGTTAGCCTCAATGGAATTGTTCAGAGAGCAGGCAACATCCTCTTTTTTGTAAGGCTAACGGAAACTGTCCAAACATACAAATCTTCACACCCAAGATGCCATGCATTCCTCTCCAATATCGAAAGCAGTGTTTGAAAATGCTGATCCGAATCAGGAACCAGCACTTACCGTGCTGATCCATGGTCGGTACCAGCGACTCAATTTGTTTATAATATATTTTATAACGGAAAGTTTGAATGGCCCAGTTGGCTAGACTGCATGGCTATTCAGACATGGTCGGAGATTCGAGCCCCTCCCCGGCATCCCAGTTTTCTTTTATGTAATTCAAATTTCTTTTAGTAATTCTGTCCCTCTTAAAAATCCTTTTTTGAAAGGAAAATGTGTAGATAGGGCTGCAGTTCTATCCAAAAAAAGAAAACACTCACTTCAAAACTCACCGAAAACTGTAGTTTATGGCGCCAAAAACCTTCAAATCAATCATCTAAACCTTGACCATTATGGTTGTAAAAAAAATCAATTGAATTTCAAGCCCTAATAATAGTGTATATTGTAACACATTATCTAGACCGTGCAATTTGCCCTAAAAATAAGTGTTCACAGATCCGCAAGATCCATACCATTTTCTCAGCTTCAAATTTCATAGTCGGTTTTACAAATTGATTTTAGAGCCATCATGGAGATTTCCAATACCCAAAGTGCTCTCCGGACGAGGATTTGACATGAGGCTTTGCTTTGTTGTCATAAGGGCTAGGCCTTATAGAGACTGCATCCTTTTTGAAATGGGTTTGGGCCCTAATTTTTAAGGAGTGAATGTTCTCTAATATGGAGATTATTAATATGTAAACATAAATAAACTTTAAAAACTGAAAATAACAATTTCTTGAAGGAAATATTTGAACCATTGGTTTTAATCTTTTTTGGAGGGACCGCCATTTACATCCGTCTTTGGGATGGATGGTTTATGCCTCGGGGGACGCAAATGTAGAAATGTGTCCCTGACGCATATAAAATTTTACCTATGCTAAAACACCAGGAGATAATTAATCATGCTATTGTGCCAATTGGTTTGATCATTTAGATGGACCATCATTCTGGCATGTTTTTAATGGTCATTTGGAATAATGCTTCTAAATCCTAATTCTAACTCTACTACGGCTGGTCGTGCCGGTCCTAAACCCGGATAAAGGAGGAGGGTTGTGTTAGGTACGCAACCAGTATAAAACTTTGCCGCACCTTTTCATGAATCCTAAACCAATGTTATTTTCTAAATCCTATTTCTTAATTGTGACAATCTGTTCAGGAAAGCAATGCTGCTATCCCATGAGTGTGCCAAAACACGCATATGACGTTGCTAGAGCTTCCTACCCTCAAGAAGCATTTGGCACATTCAACTCCTTACTACCAAGAGAGAGAATAGATGCACGTTAAAATATACACGTTCATTGTCCATGCACATTAAAACATATCTTTTCAAGGAATATGAAGCATACAAATATATAAGATTACATAAATGAGCATCATTTACCTTTTAGAAAGACTGTAACATTTGAACTCATCATCATCATAGCCTTTTCCAATTAATTGGGGTCGGCTACACGAATCCTGGTATGTCATCTGCTCTATTTAAGGTTATACCCTCAATGAGGCCATAAGCCTCCATATATATTCGGACTACTTTCGACAACGTGCTTTTGGGCCCACCCCTTGCCTTTTCAATTCTTTGACTTGAACTAACTCGCATCTCCTAACAAATGTTGTACTGGGTCTGCACCACACATGACCATCCCACCTAAAATCTACTCTCTCCCATCTTATCACCTATTGGTGACACACCTAAATTTTCCTGAATGGTTCCATTATGAATTCTATCCCTTCTTGTCTTGCCACTCATTCATCTCAACATCCTCATCTCTGCTACACTCATACTATAGGTATATTGTTTTCTATCCACCCAACCATAGAGCAAAGCTGGCCTCCACAGTTGTCCTATAAAACTTACCCTTCAGCTTCATTGGTATACAACAATCACATAAATTTTCAGTTGCACACCTCCACATCGCCCACCCAACTCTAAGTCCGTGTACGACATCTTCCTCAATTTCTCCATTTTCTTGGATTATCGACCCAAGATATCGAAAGTGCGGTCTTTTTAGTACTTCTTAGCAGTCAATCATAATTACTTCCTCATCTCTACTCCTATTATTACTAAACTTGCATTCCACATACTCTGTCTTAGTCCGACAAATTTTAAAGCCTTTGGATTTGAGAGCATCCCTCCAAAGTTCTAACTTTGTGTTGACGTTGTTTCAAGTTTCATCGATCAAAACTATGTCATCTGCTAAAAACACCACGGTACCTCATCTTGTAGGTTCCTAATTAAGTCGTCCATAACTAAGACAACGAGGTACAAGCTCAATGCTGACCCTTGATGTAGACCTATTGTCACTGACAACTCACTCGTCTCTCCACTAGTTGTTCGTACACTAGTTAGCGCTCCATTGTACATATCTCTCACCAAATCGATGTAGTGTCTGGAGACTCCTTTCTTTTCTACAACCAGCTAAATCAAATCTCAAGGTACTCTATTATAAGCTTTCTCGAGATCAATAAAGACCATGTGGAGGTTTTTTTCCTTCGCCCTAAACTTCTCAATCAATTGCCTAAGTAGGAAAATAGCCTCGGTTGTTAACCTTCTTGGCAAAAACCAAATTGATTCAGATACTCTTGTTTCATGCCTGTGTCGTTGCTCAATCACGCTCTCCCATAGCTTCATAGTATGGCTCATGAGCTTGATCCCTTGATAGTTCGCATAACTCTGTATGTCTCATTTTTTCTTGTAAATAGGTACCACAGTACTTTTCCTCCATCCGTTTAGCATTTTCTTTGTCCTCAACACCTTGTTGAAGAGCTTCATCAGCCGGTCAATGCCAATCTCCCTCATGCACTTCCAAACCTCTATTAGGATACCATCTGGTCCTAAAGCCTTTCCTATCTTCATCCTTTGCGAAGCTTCTTTCACTTCCGATATCCTAATTTTACTAGTGTATCTATGACCTCTGCCCTCATTTATACCAACAATTCCTTCTATCACAAAAACTGAGAAGCAAAGCAATCCGCAAGGCAAAAACAAGAATGCAACTACATGATAAAGCCATGACTCAAGTTTATTTTGTTTAGACAAATACCCAATGAAGCATAATCACTATAAATAATGAAGAAAAAGAATTTGTTAACTGAAATATATGTAGCCAATGCTCTACCATGTTACAAATAATATAAAAAACTTCAAAAGCAACTCACCCGAGTATTTGAGACAAGATTTTCAACAACATTCTTTTGCTGATCAAGTTGACTCTTCAAAGTAGCTGCATTATCCTGGAAACAAGATAAAACTGTCATTTTCTAACAATAGCATTGTACCTTTCTGAAACCTAAAGGCAATATATTCCAAAACTAAAACATCAAGTTTGTGTAACAAATTGCAACAAATTTTTGTAATAGAGAAATCTATTCCTCTGATATTAAAAAAGGCTGCCAATTCATGTACAAGTCCAAAATTAGATAATGGCATCAAAATAAAAAGCTGTAAGGCGGTCAACATATAAACAACATTACATGTTGCATTAGAAATTCCAACGTTCTACACGATCAGCATTTACTTTTTAGGGCCTATTATTTCTAAACAATCATTTCATTTCATTTAATAGGTTCGATCATTTTCCCTTGGTTAAGATAACAACTCATTACAGCATAAGATTTACGCCTCTTTAGAGCTTCACGAGCAAGGTCCTCATCTCCTTTTGAAAGAGCAAGTTGTGCACGACGGTACCTGATTAGTTACACATTTATCACTTGCAAGCAAACTACTGATGCTAGCCATATGAAAGAAAAAACAAAAAAAAAAAATTGCAAAATCAACCTTTATGATGAATACCCACCAATCCTCAGAAGATTGTTGTGCAGCTTTATATTTGTTTTTCAATCGTTTTTGAGAGGCTAGAACCTTAACAGGAGAAACAAAAAAAATGGACAAGGAAACGAATGACAAAAGGAGAGTCAATTATGAGATAAACAAGACCAAAGAAAAATAACAACACAAGAGAAAACCACTACGGTAAGGAAAATGTTCACTTTATCTTAATCAATCGAATATGAAAATACAAAAGCTACCTGTGCTGTGGCCTGGCGCATTTTTGTCAAATCATCGTTCATTTCAAGAACAGCTTGGTCCAATATCTTTTCAGGGTCTTCTACAGTGCTTAGGATTGCATTGGCATATGACTACAATTAGAAACAGAACATTATTTGCAGGAAATGAATACATTGGCAACTAACCCAACAAAAAGAGGACCCTGTTTCATACCCTCCCAATAACGCACCTTTATAACTCGTGCAAGCCGATCGAATAAATTCATCTTTGCCCCAAGAGCGCCTCCACCAAATCTGGCTCCATTGGAGCTAACTAACTGTGTTGTTGCCAATTCCAGACCTCCCACTGCAATGAGAAAAAATGAAAAAAGAAAAACAAATCATCTAAACCTCACGCATTCCAATGAACCACATAAGTCAAGTAGGTGGTGTCATGTATCTCCGAAGAACAATAAACAATAATTGATATAATGCAAGACAAACAGCAGGGCCCAGATGGAATACTATGAATAGAGCAATGCCTAACCATCACATTTAAATTTCTCAACCACTGAGACATTTGGTGCACAATTTTAATGAACTTGCTACCCCCACATTATGAAGATCAAAGTAGAGTTATTTAATTGTTAAGCATTGGTTACCGCAGAGACTCATGCTACCAAAGAGGGTTGGAAGCTACACCTCTCCTTAGCACACTCATCTCTTGCGAAGAATAGGGTTTTTTATTCACTTACACATTAAATTGCATGAAATACAAAAACCAAATAGAAGTCGCATTAATCTGCTTTTGTGAGGACAAAAGCAACGCTTAAAATTTCAATTATGGCACCTGACACCCAAAACTTAAGTGGGGGAATCGACCAAATTGGGGGTGGGGACACCCTTTTCTGGCTTTCCTCCTAATACACTATAAGCATCTTTTTGGAGCATTGATAACAAATATGTGTGTGCATAGGCGAGTGATTTCATGTCACCATTTCATTATAAGACACTAAAACCCCTCCCTTGGAAAAACCAAGCTTGCAGCATTTGTATGATCCCAATTTTGCACTTGAATTCTCTTCATCCCAACAATCAATGCCAAAAAGAAAAAATTGGATATGCACCCCAAAAAGGGTCAAAACTACAATAATGCCATCTACAAATTTGAGATAGAAAAGTATCATTCATAGGGCATTGGTATAATCATCCCATCAAATGGATGGCCCATGTTCATTGAGTTAGAAAAAGCAACTTTTAGGATTTGTTTTCAACTATTCTTTTATTGAGATTGTTTATCATAGCGAATCGAATGTATGTTTCAATATTAGGGTCAAACAAGCGCTCTTAACATGGTATTTGTAAGTGCGTTTCATTACATTACTACAAAACATTTAGATATATATATATAAATATGATGTTCACTCCGCATATTTAATATATAGGCTAATATTGTACAAGTTCACCTCCCTCCCCAATACCCCTAGTATTAGGTGTATTCTTTTAGGGCCATTTTTTAGGGATAGTCTTGAAAACACTAGATGAACAATAAAAAAAAGAAAATGATTTTGAGCACATCTAGGAGTAGATCTAACATGCACAAAAGCGGACAACAGACAATACACCATATTCACTCTCTTCAAAAAACCATTTCAGGGGTTTTTTTTCCAATTTTTTCATTGGGACATTCACTACGTAAAGAGCATGTATGTGTAAGAATGGTCACAAAAATATGTATATATAGGAAAAATGATTTGGTCTGCCTAAGAAAAGACCACTACATTGTCCACCCTAGCTCAAAACATAGCTAGGGGGAACCTTTGGACCTCAAATTTTATGGATAAGCACCACTCATCCTAGTGCAAGCCCAAAAAAAACAGGCAGCTTAAAGGTTCCTTAATAAATCCACCCTAATAGTAAACATAGACCGTCCAATTTTTTTTTCCTTTAATTGTTTATCTGGTGATGAATGGGAATCTACAAAATTTGGGCGATCCAACACCCATTTTAGATCACATAAAATGGATAACCCATAGGGTGGCAATGGACACTTTTTACCTTCCTTTTTTTTTGTTTTCTTTTTTTTGCTTTGGGTCTATTAGGGCCCAGTTCGGCCCAGATAGGACCTACGCCTTTTCAGCTCAGTCCAGGATGGGCCAAGCTCAAGCTATCCTCATATGGCCCAAGTCCGTGCTAGTACCCGGGCTAGCCTGACATGTCCCCAACCCTAGAAATCATACTAAATGTATTCTCTTTCCTCTAAAAAACCATTTTCTAGTATTTTTTACCAAAATCTTTTTGCAATCTTATCATCAGATCCAAGAGAGTGTGTGCACAAAATTAAGGCCCAAACAAATGTCCCTAAGGGTGCCCCAAAATAATTTAGGTCAGACCAAATTCTCTCTCTCTCTCT